TTTTAGTTTTTACTTGTCTCATTATGTAGCCTAGGCTGACCTGGAATGTTTTGCACAGCTCAGGTTGGCCTTGAGTATGTGATCCTCTTAGCTCTACCAACTAAGTGCTGGTATTACACCTGTACACCACCACACCCAGCTTGAAATAAATACAGTGCCACAAAGTAACCACACCCCAACTTAGAAATATTACATTTCCAAGACTCAGAAATTCTCATTGTGTCCATTCCCTTCCAATGAAAGGAGGCCAACTTCCTGATTTCCTACATATGGACAAATGATTTCCTGCATATATATATAATATGTGGGGGGAAATCCTTCAAGTTAAAGTCATTAATAGACTAGAAGTGGGGGGAACCCATCTCAGCACAGTGAAGGCCTATAGTCAAAGGACAAGCTCTCGGAATAACGCTCACAGACAGTCAAGATGATCTAGTGGGTAAAAGCACTTTCTGCACAGGCCAGACTGTCTGACTTTGACCCCAGGAACTCACAGTGGAAGGAAAGAACTGACTCCCGAAAGCGGTCCTCTGACCTCCATGCATGTACTGGAAAACCCATGTACCTCCAAACATCATATACCACACACACACACTATTATAACAAATGACATTTTAAAATTAGCTTTAATTTAAAACTTAGAAAAAAGAAACCAACAAAAACTACATATGTTCCTTAGGTTAGTGTCAGAAGTCGGCATACAAAACAGAAACCTGCATGCGTGAGCTCACTGTAGTGTTGTTTGCAATAGCTCTGCTATGAATCAACCTGGGTGGCCACCAACAGATGAGCAGATGAAAAGATGTGAGAAATTGTATATATAACAGAGAGAGAGTGTGTGTCTTATTCATCTGTGAAGAAGAATGAAACCATGTCATTTACAACAAAATGTCTAGAACAGGAAGGACATCATGTTAAGTGAAATGCCAATACAAATACGGTATGCTCTCTCTCTCTCATGTGAGGAAACTAAACAACAATAATAAAAAGACATGGAAGTAGAGGCTGCCGGGGTCTGTGTGGAGTGACTGGGGGTCATATCGTCAACTCATGCTCTGTGCACATTTGGAATCCCCTTGCTATGTACATTAATATGTGCTAATATGATATAAACAAAGAAAGAGTAGCAAGGACAGTTTTAACTGAGGGTGAGGGAATGCTGGATTGCAGCAGGGGTTGAGGAATGGATGGGAAGTTAAACAGTAGGAGGCATGAGTGTGACTACAGAGTGAGGGAAGAAAATGTAACTAGACGGGACAATGGGAGAACACAAGTCCTTCAACTCCAAAGTCGTTGGTCTTCAAGCTGTCCATGCAGCTTCTGGTGGCTGTTCTGTCCATGCAGCTGCCTGCTTTATTCCTTCCTTTCTTTATTCCTTCCCTTTTTTTTTTGATTTTGGTTTTTCGAGATAGGGTTTCTCTGTGTAGCTTTGGAGCCTATCCTGGAACTCGCCCTGTAGACCAGGCTGGCCTTGAACTCACAGAGATCCACCTGGTTCTGCCTCCCAAGTGCTGGGATTAAAGGTGTGCACCACCGCCCAGCTCTCTCTCGCTCGCTCTTTCTTTCTTCCTTTCTCTCTCTCTCTCTCTCTCCTTCCTTCCTTCCTTCTTTCTTTCTTTCTGATAGACTTCTCCCTGAAATAATCAGCTGCCACCAGGGGTCCCTCTTCACTCTCAGTGAACACAATTTTGTTCTTGTTTCAAATCAGAGGTCATTGGAGGCAGCCTGAAAGAAACTCTTCCTAAGCAAATCCATTTAAACAAACACACAGTGTCAACCAATGTGCCATACTCTGGGGATGCCAAGAAGAGACAAATTCCCAGTTTCAAGGCAAAATTGAGAGGTTCACATAAAGTTGTGGCTCACAGGAAGAGGAGAATATTTCAATGATGAGAGAAACAATGATAATAAAAAAACAAAATCCTCTTTTGTGAGATTGGGGGAGCAGCTCCATTGGTAAGGCACTGGCTTGCCTCACAAGCATGAAGACCTGGTTTTGATCCCCAAAATCCATGAAAAAATACAAGAGAGTGATAGCATGTGCTTATAATTCCAGTACTGGGGGATAAGATAGAAGGATCTCTTGGGTTCACTAGCCAGTCAGTCAAGTCTACTTGGCAAGCTCTAGACCAGTGTGAGACCCTGTCTCAACGGAGGTATATGATATTCCTCAGGATAACACCTGAGGTTACCCACTGACCTCTACACACATGCATGTGCATGTGTACATATATGTGCATGTCTACCTGCACATACATGAACATGCACACACACATTCACAGGAAAGGAAAACTCCTTTGTAACTTCGGCAATTACTATGGAAACACCTAAGGTTTTCTGTTATCTGGACTCCACAAACATTTAGAGAAGGTCCTAGGGGATAGGGAAACGTCTCAGTGGGTAAAGCATATGCTGGGAGGGCATGAGAACATGAGTTCAGATACAGCACCCACGTAAAGAGTCAGGCAAAGCGGCATGCATCCGTAATTCAGCACTGGGAGGGGGAAACAGACACCTGTACACACACACACACACACACACACACACACACACACACACACACACACACACGCATGCACACACACATGCACATAACAAAGGTCTTTGGGTGTACATCAGAGATTGCTTGTGTCGTTTCCATCATTTTTTTCCTGAGTATGTAAAAAACAGTTTTTGAGCCCTAGACAGAGGTACAGTAAGTCAGAAATTGACCCCAATGTATCAGTATCAAATTAACTTAGTCTGTTTCTAGCAATATTTTTTTAATTAATTTATTTATTTATTTTTTGGTTTTTTCAAGACAGGGTTTCGCTGTGTAGCTTTGCACCTTTCCTGGGACTCACTCTGTAGCCCAGGCTGGCCTTGAACTCACAGAGATCCATCTGCCTCTGCCTCCCAAGTGCTGGGATTAAAGGCGTGTGCCACCACAGCCCAGCAGGAAGGAGGTCTTAAATACAGGTTTACAACACAATGGGAGAACCCCCAGAGGGCAGAAGTTTGCTATGATGTTTTACAATCTTGCATCTAAGCTGTTAACGCCCATTGTGCAGGATACACAGACAAGGAACTTCCCTTAAGCATTCAGGAGGGTGGAACCTGGGAGGGAATTAGCATAGGGAGGATATCAAGGTCAAGGTCAGCAAGAAAGGCAATATTTAAAATATTGTTTCTAGCAATATTTTAAAAATCATTTTAGGGCATGAAAAATTTGACATTTTCAACAGTTGAGGAGTCATAATTAATCATTTTTTTCTATTTTTGGTCACCTCTATCTGCTCATCAGACAATAATTGCCCTGTAGAAGTGATGCATCGCATTCAGAAAGAATGGTCCTGTTGGGATAAACTTACACAATTCATTTCCTTGAGGATTCATGCATGAATAGTAATGAAGCATGTTTCACAATCTCAAAGGGAGCTTGCAGAGCCAGAGAGCTCAAGACATAAAGAAGAATTAGGACCACAACTTCCATTCTCTAAATTCAATCCTGTGCTCCCGGCAGCCTGTGTGATTTGAATGAGAAATGGGCCCATAGGCTCGTATATTTGAATCTTTATCTGCCATGGAGTGGAAGTATTCGAGAAAGGTTAGAAAGATTAAAAGGTGTGGCCTTGTTGGAGTGGGTGTGGCCTTTGAGGAAGAGTGTCACTGGGGTGGGCTTTCAGAAGCCCATGCCAGATCCACATTTGTCTCTCTCTTCCTGCTGCCTGTGGACCAGGATGTAAATGCTCAGCGACTGCTCCAGCACCATGCTGGACTGCTCAGCACCATGATGATCATGGTCATCTAAAACTGTAAGTAAATCACCCATTAAATGCTTTCTTTTATATGTTGCTATGGCCATGGTATCTCCTCACAGTAATAGAACAGTAACTAAGACACAGCCCCATTCATTCTTCATACCGTGAAATAGTTCTGTCTTCCTCCACCTAGAAAGATACCAAATACTTACAGATTGGCTCTCTATTCTGTGACACAGCTGCTTTCTCTACCCTGATTCGCCTTCATCCTCCTCTTCAAACAGTTGACCAAAAGCAAGTGTCTACAGAAAGGTCCCTAGGCATTTTTAAAAATTATTTTAGAAAACTGAATAAAGGACTGAGGAGCTAGCTCAGTCCGAAAAGCACTTGTCATGCAAACATGCGGCCCTGAGCTCAAAATCAAGAACCTGTGCCAACAACCTGGGCACGTGGCATACCTGTAATCCTAGCGTTGTGGGTGGAGATACAGGAAGATCCCTGGAACTCAATGGCCCATCAGCCAAGCCTACGTGGTGAGCTCCAGACCATTGAGAGACCCTAGGTAGGCAGGGTCTACAGGTAGCCCCACACCCCAGTAGCCTCTGGGTGTGGTGAGCTGGGCGGGGCACGGTAGGCAGGAGTGAACACCTGAGGTTCACTTCCATTCTACAGACACACATACAGAAATGCATACATATGAATACTCGTACATACATACTAAAAAGAAAGGAAAAAAATCTGAACTGAATGCAAGGCAGTCTCTACTCAGAAAGTCACCCTTTCTAACTACTCAGCCCATCTTCGCTATCTTCAACATGTTGGGTTTTATTTTTCAACTTGAATGCTTCCTTCCCTCAAGTCACAATGTATGGCTATCACCGGCTTCAGTTAACCAATTACCACTTTTATATTGTGATCACATTTCTTTTAAAATGGTTTATTTTTATTTTATGTATGTGGGTATTTTGCCTGCATGTAGATCTATGTACCTTGTGTGTGCTGTGCCTGCAGAAGCCAGAAGAGGGCATCAGATCTCCTGGGCTGGAGTTACAGATGGTTGTGAGCCTCCACATGGGTGCTGGGAATCAAACGTTGGTCCTCTAGAAGAACAGGCAGTGCTCTGAACTGCTGAGCCATTGCTCCAGCCCAAGATTTGTGCTCCTTTTAAACCTGCTTATCTTTGTTATTGTTGTTTTTTGTTTGTCCTTTTGTTTGTGTTAGGGTCCTGGAAAAGTCCCATAAAAGACCATCATCCATGTGTGCAATTAGCAAGAGTGTTTATTAGTCCAATATACTGGGGCTGTCCATCCCATATGAAGGCAAGATGGCGAGGACTGCAGAGGGATGTGTGAGCACAGCCAAGGGGAGGACCTAGGGCAGTTAGGTCACTTTAGGTATGATTGGCTCAAGCGAGTGGTGGTCATATTAGTGTGTTCTGTTGTATTTTAAAAACGGTGGGAAGGAGTCACTCCATACAAGAGGGCCCAGATGAGAGGTTTATCGAGGGGAGGGGAGAGAAGGGACAGAGACCAGTCCCTGGGGATGAGAGTGAAGGAAGAAAAAGACAAAGAGACGGGAGGTGAGCAAGGCCCGCCTTTTATAAGGAAATGTAGGGAAAGTGCACAGGGGTGCTCTTAGTGGCTGCAGCTGAGGATATGTCCTGTCAGGACCCTAAGGGCAGGCCAGTACAGGTGCCTAAATGCTAACATGTTCTAATTGGCCAGGGGTAGTCAGGAGCTGGTCAGGATTATAGTTTTCCATTTGGGGGCAGGCCTGGACAAGTCCCAGGCTTTGTCCTTATTTGGTTATCACCTTAGGCTGTTTACAGCTTAGGCCACCAGGCCTCCTCGTCCTTGCTGTCAGGGGTGTTGGAGATTGATTATCCTTTGTTGGTGGCTCTTCCTCAGAAACTGCTTGCTTGGTTCCAAAAAGCAGGGACCAAGGCCTAGTTCTTAACTGAGTCATTAGGGCAGGCTGTCATGGTATTTTCCTGGCCCTCTCATTTGTTTTAATAAAGATGCTTTGGAGATTGGCAACCACCACCAACAGTTCTGGCTACATAGCCCTCCTAGTTAGAGGTAGCCCCACACCCCAGTGGTCTCAGGTGTCACACAGATCGTGGTGAGACTGGGCCGGTCCAGGCTTACTGTTGCCATGGCAAGGTCTGAAAGAGGGCCCTGCCAGGCTCCTCACGGCTAAAGATAAAGTGCATATCCCAGGAGTTGGTGTCAGAAGACATGTGCCATCCTCCAATCCCAGCTGGAAAAGGACATCAGAAGGATATATGTTGGCATGAAAGAATATTAAAATTTCCCTTCTTTTCCCATCAAGACCTGCCACCAGTCCCTTCTATTTCTCGTCTGCTCTTCTGCCTTTAATACTCTGGCTCCCTCCTCCCACCACACCTGTGGTCAAGTCATTTATGAGTCCAGTGGGAAGAGGTCTTGAGTCCATCTCAGGCAGACCACCACAGACCCCAATGGTCTCCAGACTAAATAGCTAGAGAAACAAGAAACCCTCCTGCACCAGTCACCTCCTGAAATAGTCCCTTGCATCCTACATCTGATGCTATGGTCTTACATAGCATTCAAAAATAATTAGGTCTTTACCAATAGAGGTTTAAACACATTAGTTTATTTCCATAATGCTATGCCCATTATTTTAACAATAATATAACTGCAACACAAACTAGCATTCATTGAGTGCTTACTCTGTTTCAGACACTTTTAATTCCTCCATATCTGTCACCTCTCCTCAGCCTCACGATAATACTGTGAAATAAGCTGTATAGGCGTCCAATTTTGCTAATTGCTTTCCCAAAGTCACAGTAGTGACGCCAGGATTGAATCAGTGAGTTGGATTGCCAGCCCTATGTCCTTATCTGATGGGGTCTGCTGCAGTCAGACTCCATGTGACCAGCTGATACATTTTTTTTTAAGTTACAGTGTGTGTATGAACATGCATGTCTGTCTCTCTGTCTGTCTGTCTGTCCGTCTACCTATGCACACATGAGCCCATGGAAGTCAGAGGACAACTGGTAGAAGTACATCACTTGAGTTCTGGGGATTGAATTCATGTCATCCGGTTTGGCCGGTGCCTTTACCTGCTGAGCTACCTCCCCGGCCCCACCAAAACTTTTAATAGGTCAATACAAGTTCTTGATTTGTGCGCACAGTGCTACAAGCTGGGATAGTTTTCAGACTGTGAATGCTGGAGGGGGTCCTTCCATCCAAACAATACAAGCAGGACTAAAAAGAGGAATAAACTGATTTTCGGGGGCCGGGGATATGGCTCGGTCAGCAAAGTGCTTCCTTGTGAGCATGAGTTTGATCCCCAGAACCTAGGTGGGGTTTTTTTTTTTAATGATTTTTAAATGCTTTACATTGTAAAGTGCACAATGTTTTGGAATAAAGATTGTTTATTACTGAGCATAAAAGTGTTCACTTCGTGAGTAGAAAGGAAGACGCAAGGGTAAGCAGGGGAAGGGAGCATTCTCAGGCTGCTGCATCAGGTCCTCTGGTTTCTGAACGACTTTACAATAAATCCTTATGACAAAGGACTTTGCTATAATAGGTCAATAAAATTGTTCCAGTAAAGCCAGGCGGCGGTGGTGCACGCCTTTAATCCCAGCACTCGGGAGGCAGAGACAGGTGGATCTCTGTGAGTTCGAGGCCAGCCTGAGCTACAGAGTGAGATCCAGGACAGGCGCAAAGCTACACAGAGAAACCCTGTCTCGAAAAAACAAAAAGACAAAAAAAAATTCCAGTAAACATAAATTTTATATATGTGTGTGTATGTGTGTGTGTGTGTGTGTGTGTGTGTGTGTGTGTGTGTGTGTGTGTATGGGTTTTTTTGAGACAAGGTTTCTCTGTGTATCCCTGGCTGTCCTGGAACTCGCTCTGTAGACCAGGCTAGCCTAGAATTCACAAAGATCCACCTGCCTCTGCCTTCCAAGTGCTGGGATTAAAGGCATGTGCCACCACCACCCACGTCAAAATTTTATATTTTTAATGTTCTGCATGATCTTGATCAATTTTAAGAAAAAGTATGCAATATAAATATTTTAGTGCAAAAGTAATAAATAAGTAAAAAAAGTAATTTTTCATGTTTATCCCATCATCTACTTTTATTCAAAATGTGTTTTTGCATCTGCCTCATTTTCGAGTAAACTCAAATGTTTTGAATAAACCAAAATGACAAAAACAAATTGCAATACCTTCTTCAACTGACTCACAACAGTGTATTTTAATTAAATAAAAACTCATACTTTCAAACTCACTTATTTTGCCTCATTTTGTCATGTACAGCATACCTTATTCTTATGTGCTAAAACAAGAAAGCTTCCAAGTATACAATTTTCTACTCTAATTTAGCAAAGACTACAAACCTAGCCAGTTTCTCCCAAAGTCATGAGCAAGGTGCCAAGGAGGGTTTTTTTTTCCATGACAAAGCTAGCAGGCTTATAAATTATACATAAATAGACATGATTGCCTTTCCCTATGTTGCATGGGAGTGTCTCTAGAGTCCGATGATTTTTCACAAAGCAGGAGCTCAGACAACAGTCTAGGCTTTCTCTTTTGTCCCTCAACGTTACCACACACACATCACTACCCATGTTTTCTCCAGCAATCAGCAGACAACAGCGCTCGAAAGCTGTCATCAGAGTGTGTCACCCGAATGGAAGAAGGTGTGCTTCCGAAAAGAGGGACCGCCTGGTTCACCGCAGGCCGATGTAGGAATCCGTACAGGCGCCTGAGGCATCACAGACTACACTAGAACACTGGAAGTCTTCTCACCAAGCTCATTTTCTATAAGTAGTTGCATTAAAGAGCTCTTACTATCGATTCTTCTCCATGCAAGCCACCCACCACCCTAACCCCACCAAAGCTGAAGCAACTGGTTAGCAGAAATGAGCCTGAATCAAGTCCACCCCTTCCCGGCTGCCATCTCTAAACGCCTTGCCTAGGAGCGATTCCCATCCTTGAACCAGCCGGTGTAACAGATTAGATCTGCTGCCTGAAGAAGTCCACTTTCTCAGTCCTTGACCTACGTACATCGAGGCAAGTGTATCCAGGTATCCGTGGCCACTCTCAGGGAAAAAATTCTTTCAGTTCTGTTCCGAGTCCAGTTGGTTGAGCCGCTTTACGATCATGCTGTTGATTTTCTTAAGATCATCTATGTCCTTCCCCTCAGCTGTCAGTCTTCTCGACACGTCGTCCATCTGGTTTCCGGTTTGAACTTCAAAATGGAAAACAGGCTGTTACAGCCGAGCCAGCAGAGGGAACCCTGTGAAGGGCTCAGCTGAGTGCTGAGAGGCATCGTCTGCAAACCGCCATCATCCTGGAAACCCAGAGTACCGAAGAATTGCCTGGCTCGTAAACCCTACTTATGACCTCCCGGTGCCAGGCTAGACCACCCCTGGCAACTCTGTAAGATTCTGGCTGAGACGAATGTGCCAGGGGCTGCCAGTGTGTCTGGTTAGTTCCTCAGGAGTGATTGTTACATTGTCTCATTTCCAGACCCTTTCTCAGAAGTGGCTTTCTCTCTTTCTGGAAAACGACATTCTCTGGGTGCTAACATCTACCTGTGTCTCCATACACACGAACAGACATGCACACACATATACATATGCACATAAAAGATAATGAGATTAATATCTCTGGCCCAAGATGCTTACTTGTACAATAAAAATATACATTTTTTTTCTCATACAGGGGCTCAGGTTGGCCTTGAACTCATGTTCGGCCATCTCTGTCTACCAAGCTTTGGGACTACAAGTGTGTGCCATCCCAGCCAGTGTAAAGATCCTCTTATTTCCCCACCTCACTTTTCCTTTTCTTACTCAGTGTGATCCTGGCCTCCATATAAAACACTTGAGCAGAGCATCGTGGCCCACAGTGAGACTTGTCTTAAAACCAAAACCAAAAGCAAAGTAAAAACAAACATTTGAGGCAAATACCAAATAACTCCTTTTTGTTTTATCTATTTATTTTTAAAGGTTTTTTTAGATTTGTTTTATTTCATGTGTGTGTGAGCATTTAGTCTGAATGTCTGTGCACCATGTGTATACCTGTGAAGACTAGACATCAGATCCTCTGGAACTGGGGTTACCAACAGTTAAGACCTACTGCATAGATGCTGGGAATTGAACCTGCATCCTGTGCAAGAGCAACAAGTGCTCTTAACTGCTGAGCCATCTCTCCAGCACCTATTTATTTTTTTGAGACAAAGTCTTATGTAGCCCAGACTGGCCTTGAACTCACTGTATAGCCAAGAATAATCTTGAGCTCCTGATCTTTCTACCACTAACTCCCACATGCTGAAGCCTGTTCCACCATGTCTCCCTCAAATAAGTCCTCTTTTAAGGAGGGCTGGAGAGATGGTTTAGCAGTTCAGAGCCCTTACTGTTCTTGCAGACGACCCAGTTTCACTTCCTACTGTGGCTCACAACCATCTATAATTCCAGTTCAGAAGACCCGATGCCCTCTTCTGACCTCTGCGGACACCAGGCATGTATGCACATGGTATACATACATACACACATGCAAGACATTCATCCACATGAAATATTAAATAAGTCTTCTAAAAAATAGACACAGTGACATTCACATCCTGCCTTATATTTTACGTCAGTGCCTCTGAGTCCTGAATAGTTCCATCAACTTGAGCATATGAGGCTTCAGTTTCATCAACAGTAAACTAGAGATAATGATAGGACCTAGCCAGGCATGGTAATGTCATCCTGTAAATCCAACTACTCAGAAGGTTGAGGCAGGAGGATTGCAAGTTCATCAACCTAACTGGGCTACTCAGTGAGTTTAAGGCAATCTAGTGAGTCTCAAAATGAAAAGCAAAGAGGATGCTAGCAATCCAGTTTTGTGGTAGAAAAGTTACCTAAAATGCACAAAACTCTAGGTTCACTCCGCAGTATTATTTAAAAAAATGTTTTTTAGATTCTGGACTACACAGTTGTTGGAAGGTATTTGACAGACAGCCCTCAAGTACTCAGCGCATGGTCCCTAGCACTGCATACCTCATCTATAACACTTGTTACTTCTCTTGTTCTTCCTCGTATCCTGTAGATGAGAGTTTTTCCTTTGGGTTGCTTGATTGTCTATAGACATATCTAAAATACCTGGCTAGTTTAACTGGTCATTACCTGCAGTTAGGTACGGCAGGACAACAGGCAGATGTCTCATTTATGTTGGGCTAACATTTCAGAATAAGAATATACTGTCTTTTGGCCCTGTGGGTTCAACTGCTGACCCTCCCCGAGTCAATAGCTAGCTACAAGTTTACATTATCGCAAGGATACCTCGCCTGAGTGCTTCTAAGCAGAAAAGGACATAAGCTGGGGGGCGGGGTGTGTGGAATTAAACACCATCCTTGTTGTATGGCTTCTCCTGGAAAGATGTGAACGAAATGCCCTTTCACCCCCTCCAAGGCACATAGAACATCTCAGAAGAGGGGGTATAAAGAAGAAAGAGCTTGGCGACTGGAAGGGCACTGGAGAGATGGCTCAGTGGTTGCTGCTCAAGCAGGAGATCACAGTTCCATTCCTAGTGCTCACGTTGTCCCACCTGTAACTACCATTTCAGGGAATTCAACTGGTCACTTCTACCCTCCAAGGTCATCTGCACACACATATACATAAAGAAAATAAACCTTTGTTTTTTTAAAGGAGGAGCAGTGACAGCCACAGTCAGGAGAGGAGGAAGAGGAGGGCCAGAGGAAGAGGTGGAGTGTCCTCTACCTATTTCCTCCAAATTGAAACATTCCTGTCTGGATGGAAGAGGAAGGCTCAGAACATTCAAGGCTCGGGAAACTCAGCAGGCTACAGGATTCACAAGACTCCTCTTGAAGGAAGAACCAGTGAACAACTCCAGGGAAAAGGAGAGTGTCTGGCGGAGCTTCCTACAAGTCATACAGGGAATTCCAAGGATGCAGCTTTTTCAAGAAGATGCTGGAGGGGGCTTCCTGGTGATGCAAACTGCCTCAGAGGTACTCATGTTTGGTTCATGTGTTTGAACACTAGGTCCATTGGTGAACCGTTTGGAGATGTTTAGATGGTGGAGCCTTACTAGAGGTGATACATCACTGGAGGTGTATAACGAGTCTTTCTCTGTCCCACCAGCTCCCAAATAGCAACATGGAGACTTCTTATTAATTATTAAACCTCAGTCTATATCTTAGCCTTGTTCCTAACTAGCTCAGATATGTAAATTAGCCCATTTATTTTAATCTGCATTCTGTCACGTGGTTCATTATCTCATCTCTCTGTACTGCTCATGCTGCCTCCTCTGAGTCCAGCTAAAGACCCCACCTTACTTCCTCTCTGAGTCCTCCACCATCTAAACATCTCCAAACGGTTCACCAATGGACCTAGTGTTCAAACACATGAACCAAACATGAGTACCTCTGAGGCAGTTTACATCACCAGGAAGCCCCCTCCAGCATCTTCTTGAAAAAGCTGCATCCTTGGAAGTCCCCAGAAGTCCCGCCTAAACTCTTCCTGCCTAGCTATTAGCCACTCAGCTCTTTATTAAACCAGCCACAGTGACATATCTTCACACAGTGTAAAGGAATATTCTGCAAAGGGGTGGGCACTGAGGGTTTAGATCCTCATCACAGCACCGGTTCCCTCTCTCATGTTCGTGATGAAAGATGTGATCTCTCAGATTCCTGCTCCTGCCACCATGCCCGTGGCTTGCTACCATGCCTCCCCAGCATGATGGACTGTTATCCCTCTGAAACCCAGTGTCTTAAGGGCACGTTATTGCTCCTGGACAGGGTCCTTGGGTACAAGTCCATGGTATGCTCCCACAATCCTAGGTCTCATCTGCATATTACCCCAGAGGGGTGATCAAAACTGATGGAGGCTCTACTGTGCATCTCCCAAGAGATCTTTTAGAAACCCCAAGTTCCCTTTAAGTTGTCTTTTATTGTGTGTTTTATCACAGCAACAGAAAAGTAACTAATACACCTTTAATGCACGGGAGTATAAATAATCCCAATAAACTCATCGGTTCACCAAGCTAGGCTGAAGTGCATTCATTTCTTTTGGGGAGAATAGACATTTTTTTCATGTCTCCACAGGAAAAGTCACACAATACGCCTTCTTACACACCCAGCCTCAGAGACCCAAAGGAGTGTTCTCATGATAACACCTCCACCTCCTCTGCTCCTAGAGGAACTTAAATAAAGACAATACATGGAGTTACAGTTCTCATTTAAAGTTGCTGAAGGCAAGGCAGGCATGGTGACACGTGCCTGCAATCCCAGATCTCAGGAGGCTGGGACAGGAAGATCTCAAATGCAAGGCCAACCTTGGCTATGTAGTGAGATCCTGTCTTAAAAAGAAAAAAAAAAAATGCCGGATACCATAAGCAGGAAAGGGCAGAAGAATGACAGGCTGGAAGACCCAAGCTTCCGGTCAAGATGGCGTTAAACATACTACCCTCTCTGGGGCTGGAGAAAGCACTGGCTGCTCTTCCAGAGGACCAGGTTCAACTCCCAGCACCCACAGGGCAGCTCACAACTGTCTGTAACTCCAGTTCCAGGCGATCTGATGTCTTCACACAGACATACACGCAGGCAGAACACCAATGCACATGAAATAAAAAATTTTTTAAAAGACCCTCCTTGTAGCTTTCGGTGGTGTGGAAGAGAATAGTATAAAAAGGTCGTCTGAGAGGGAACTGTGTTGGCTCTGATGGAGGAGCACACACACACACACACACACACACACACACACACACACACACACACACACACTGCAGGTAGGCAGCTCCTCTCCTGCTACTCAAAGCAGACAGGAGACAGGAGGCTGACATGAAACCGCTGAGGGGTCTCTGTGCTGAGGAGCAGATGTGGGCAAGCCTCTGTGTCACCAATCAAGGGTATGACATGTGTCTCCCAGGCCAAGAGCAGACAGGACGGAAGAGAGTACCAAACAGGGAGGAAGTGACCCGCCCTCACATCCCCAGTACTGACTCGGGCCATTAGCCTGAACCCTTGCCTGAACTGATCCCTGGGGTGATATGCAGATGAGAAAGCATGAGGGGAGTGCAAAACCTCATGGAAATGTATGCTATGTCTAAATGTAATGAAAAAAATCTATGTATGGAGTAAAAAGAATAAAATTAAGTAGGATAAATTGCATACAATTTGGCAGCAGGGCCTCCAAGTGACAAATTAAAAGCTTATATAAATATTTAACATAAATGTGACCTGGCATTGGGGAAGCATGCTGTGGACTTGTGCCCAAGGATCCTACCCAGGAGCAACAAGGTGCCCTTAAGACACTGGGTCTCCCCCAAGCTTTCACTGGAAATTGATGGCCAAAAAGTGCTAGCTAGCCCCAGAAGCAACAGCTGTGAAGCCAGCGATGAAGGACGCACACACAAATACAGACAAGCCTGCCTGAAGTACTTACTTATTAGGAAGATGGCGAAGAACACCAGAGCGAGGCTGACCGTCAGCACCAGGAGCAGCCCCACAAAATACAGACCGCGGTTTCCATTTCCTGCGTTTGTCCCAGTGTTCGGTATTTTCTCCGCTAACGCTAATAGGAGACAAAGCAACAGAGTCTCGGAACCACCCAGAGAGATGTGATGGATGTACTTTTCCCCTGGACAGCCTGGAAAATGACTTCTGCATTAGGGATGCTTTTGGAAGAGCAATTTTGGATCTGTTTGCCTTTCCATTAGAATTCAAAGAACGAGTGGGCTTGAGCTATGTCCTTGGACCTGTTTGAAAGGTTCTTTGAAAACTGTTAACTGTGGAGTCGAGTGGCATGAATTATTCTTTGGAGAAGAAACGGAAAATTGATGGAGGCTCTATGCCCATCTCCTAAGTGGTCTAAGTGGAGCTAGGTAAGTGATGCTGTCCCTGTGTGGAAGACCTAACACCGTGTGGCGTCTCTCAGGAAACTGCTTTTATTATCAGAATAATCACTTAGGTCTTTATTAGACAACAGAGCCACTGTGGTATTTTGGTTCCTTAAAGCTATTTCCAGGATAGATTTGCTCTAAGAGTGAGGCTCTTCCCAGCGCTTGGTGCTGGGAATTGCCTCTTGTTAGCTACTTTGTAACTCTCAGGTGCCAACTAATGCTCAGATAAAGTTGACTAAGAGAGGTGTGAGCCCCTGGGGTAGGGAGAGGCTGGATTACATTCTATTTTCTCCTCCTCTCTGAATTGGTCCCACACATTGTACTGCTTGATTATCTAATCAAGCACCTCCCGTGTCCCATCCTCTCAACAGCTTCAGCCTTCTCATCAAAGCCACACCACAGGCTGACACCAATGCCTACTGCTGTAAGTGGACGAGGATCTGAACCCGTTAAAACGACAAAAGGAAGAACTCAAAAAAAGACGAGAACCGGAATGGGGGTGTAAAGTGGACAATAAGTTCAGAGTGTGCACGAAGCGAATAGCAAGGGGACATCAACCCTTGAGCTTGAATTCTCATCATTTAAGTTAGACAGCCTGGGGCCTGGGGGGCCTGAGAGGCTGGGTTTCTCACACTTGGGGTACAAGATACACTCTGTGTTCATGAGATTTCATTTTGTTCTCATGTCCCTTCTAACACCTTAAATGGACAATTTGTAGTTTGTAAGTAGAAAATGAAGTTGACTTTTTGCACAACAGAATTTTAATGATTTTTTTTATAAACTAGTAAATGTGATGAACATTTTTCTCAGCAATCTCTGATTAAAACAAGACCCCTGGGAAGCAGAGAAGGTAACGAACCTAACCCTGGTCACCAAGAGGCGCGACAGCCAAAAGGGACTGAGCAAGCTGGGAGGCCAGCACTAGCCTCCGCCCTGCCCAGTGACCAACAGTGTATGGTTCTTCCCCAGGAGTTAAAAGGGAAAAAATGGGACATGAAGCAAGCTCTTACTCTGCAGTCCGGCTACCAGGAACTACCTATTATAGCCCAGGCTGACCTGAAGTTTGTGATTCTCCTGCCTCACCCTTCCAAGTGTTGGAATTACAAGCATGAGCCAGTATGCCTGGCTTCTGTTAGGAATTTTGAAGTGCTCAGATCTTGCCAAGAAAGTCAATAATCCTTTGAAGATTGGGAGCATAAAACGAAAACTGCTTAATGATGAATAACGTTTCTAGTACTCAGTGATTGCGGATGCCCACCCTGCCCCCACCACAGGAAACACATCCACCGTGCCCTTGATGTTTTCCGGAAGTCCCAAAGCCATGGAAGCCTGAAACACTTCAGGACCATACATACGGAATAGATGTTGCGATTCTGTCGGACAGAGATTGAGTTTGTTTAAGTCATTTATGGAATCCACAACATAGAGTTTCCCTTCTTCATGGATGCCATGAGGTCCAGCATCCTGGGAGGAATGAGTCATTGTCCTGAAAGAAAACGTCACCGTTAGGAAGAAGCAGCAGAGGAACTGCACAAGCCAGAGCAGCAGGAAGATGGACAGGCATATAGGCTGCCGTCCACAAACGCGCTGCTAGGGTCTAGAAAGGCTGTGTCTAGAAGGAAGTATGTCCTTGGTTGGCCACTGTAGTGGCTATTCTTTGGCCTCTGCTTGCCAGACTCAAATGTGTGGTTAGCATCCAGCAGCTCTTACATGTTTACCCTCAATGCTCTTTCCTCCTCCTCGGCTTCCCACTTCCATCTTATTTTCCCCGGGTCTGATTTTTATTTCATAATTGCCTCTCTTATTAGATGAGTCCTAGTCCGACATGCTTCAAGTCCTTTGTGCAAAACTGCTACTTATATATACAAAATAAGCTAGCCAACAAACAATCATAAAGACAGGCAGACGGACCAAAAGATAACCATGAGCCCTCCTACCTTCCTATTTTAACACAAAATTGCAGTCTTGGACCTGGCAAGGTAGCTCAGTACTTTCCACCAAGCCTGATCACCTGACTTCGATCCCTATGGTGGAATGAAAGAACAGAAGAGCACAAGTGGTCCTCTGACCCCCACACGCACGCCATGGCACTCAAGCAGGACTCCCACATACACTCGGTAAATAATGTAAAAATACTAATTGTGTTTTTGTATTTTCTTCAGTTTGGCATGAGTCCTGGCCCTCAGATATTAGGTACTGGCTGTAGTCATTAGGTACTGGCTGTGGCTTCCTAGGACAAAAACCTCAGCAAATAGAGGCACTAAAGAAAGGTTCTATTGCCAGGCCAGTTGTGGTAGCACATGCCTTTAATCCCAGCACTCAGTCAGAGCTACACAGATATGATTATTATTTTTATTTTCTTTTTTTTATTTGCTTGCATGTATGTACGTGCACCACATGCATGCCTGTTGCCCAAGGAAGCCTGAAAAGACAGATTTCCTGGAACTGGAGTTAGGGATAGTTTCAAACTACCATGTGGTAGCTGGTTGGATCTGAACCCAGGTCCTCTGCAAGAGTAGCAAGTGCTCTAACTGCTGAGCCATCTCTCCAGCCCCCAAAGTGAGGAATCTTTGTTTTTTCTTTTTGGTTTTTCAAAATAGGGTTTCTCTATGTAGCCCTGGCTATTCTGGAGCTCTCTCTGTAGATCAGGCTGGCCTTGAATTCAGAGAGATCCTCCTTCCTCTGCCTCTGGAGCACTGGGATTAAAGGCATGTACGCCTGGCAAGAGAGATATCTTGATAATACCAGGACCAGATCTCTTCCATCTGGCTTCCAAGAAACTGAGATCGCTTATGTAACCAACACTTTTTAAGCTGAGGTTTATACATAAGGTAACATTCTCTCACAACAGCACGATTTCCTCACTGACAAGCCTGAGTGGATTAGGCAAGTCTGCACTAGTGCGTCTTTAATGCAAAGCTGGAAAGATGTCTCGGTGTGCAAAGTGCTTGCCGCACAAGCATGAGGTCCCGCCTTCACATCTCCAGCACATGAAAACTGGGTGCAGCTCGTCTGTAGCCCCAGTGATGGGTGATGGTAGAGACAAACAGATCGCAGGGGTTCGTTGGCCAGCGAGTCTAGTCAAAACAGTGAGCTCCAGGTTCAGTGAGAGACTGTCTCAAATATACTGTGGAGAGTGATAGAGGAAGACATCTGACCTTGACCTCTGCCTACATGAGCGTGTGCGTACACATGTACACACACACACACACACACCACACATATACACACACACAAACACATACACCATACACACCACACACACACACACACACACACACACACACACAAACCACACACACATATACCACACACACACACACACACACACATAAACCACACACACATATACCACTCATACACACACACACACATACACCATACACACACACATACACCACACACATACACCACACACACACACACACACCCCACACACACATCACACACACAATAATAAAAATAAGTCTTTAAAATAATAAAAATCCAGTTATTTCCCAGTGGCACCTACAATTTAGTGGTACACATTTGTAGATCCCTGGCTAAGAAACACTCTGCACTCAGAAAGTCATGCACTAGTTTTTTGTTGCTGTTGTTGTTTTTTTTATGAATTCAAACTGTGTGTTTCCATTTTCCTGAATTTTTAATTGGAAAAAAATGTACAATGCACTGCATGTACTGAGACATTCCACGGCATGTTAACTACTGAAATTACTGAATTTCAAGTGTATGCCATGGAGCGGTCCTGAGGGAATGGAAAGCAGCAGCAGCAGCAGCAGCAGCAGCAGCAGCAGCAGCAGCAGCAGCGGGTGAGAGAAAAGGCTTCAGAGAGCAAACCTCACCCTCAGCAGACAAACGGTGCCCTCCACGTGTCCACGTGTTGATGACTGCCAGGGCGCCTGGCTCCCGACCGTCCTTCTAAAGCGCTTTCTGTCTCGGCGTCTCTGTACACCTTATTATCCCAAACTCTATTTTTTTTCTTTTGGACCAGGAAAAAAAAAAAAAAGGCTGTGTGTGTGTCAGATGGTGGGATCATTGTTGCAAACACAGCTTCTATTTCGAGCATGGTAACGGAGACACAGTGCATTTCTGAATCTGATTTAATACCCTCGAGCTCCCATTTCACCCTCAGGAATGTCATTGCTGTTGCAAAAAAGAAAAAAAAAAGCCTGTTTACAAAGTAGAGGACTAGCTAGAAAAATCATTGCTAAAAAGCCCTATTTTTAGAGTAATAGTCCAGCTAATAAAATTTACTAGCCTAAGAAAGGGATGCCAAGAAATGTACGGGATAGAGGGACGGCATTCAGCCTGGCAGCCTGAAGTCGATCTCCTTCACTTAGTTCAGTGAGAAACAACTCCTGCAAGTTTGCAACACTGTCCTCTGACCTCCACATAAGCATTGCGGCATGGGCATGCTCCCCCCAAAACACACATCATTTAAAATCTCTAATAAAATTTGTTAAGGATGTTTGTTTTTAATCTAAGATAACCCAAGTAAATAATGGAGCTCTCTGAAAGGAAATCTTTGCAGTGAGCTCACAGTGTCAGTAGGTGTAGTTCAGTGTACCTTTTCAGTACTCAGCATGTAAAAAGAAAGACAAACCAGTAAGGAAAGCAGACGGAGGTGAGTCGTGGCTCCTGACTCGGCTAGTAAGTGGATACAAGGTCACATGTCTTGAAAAGCAGAACCCACAGCTGTTGACATCAGTGGTTGCTATCTTTGGCACCTGAAATGAGGGCATTTGGGAGCAACCAACGGGGCTGGTGCCGAGTGTCATTACCCAACCCATGTCACACTAACGCGGCCCTCTTGTCCCACTCCGCTGTGCAGACCCACTGACTCACCAATGGCCAAAGCAGCATCCCTTTAATGGAGCCCTTTCTAATCCTGGAGCTGAGACGCGTAAGTGATTTCATTTTCCTATGCTCTCGATCACTGCTAACAGCTGAACCTTTTAGCATTTAATCATTGCTTGATTTTCTACCAATAGATATTTTGACAAATAAAAATTGTCTCTGAAAAAAGAAAAAAGGATCACTGTGCGTGATCCCCTGCACGTGTTGGTATCAAAACAGAAAAATAACTCACACCACGTTGCATGCTACAAACTCAGAACTGTTTACAATTAAGACTGAATTCAAAGCTTAACAAGACACTTTGTTGAGTGAGTCATGGCTGCTTGTTAATGGCACTCCCGAGTTCACTCTGCAGAGTCAGGAAGCAATTTTTAAAATCAAGTCTGCATCTTTTCTATGAGAAGTGGAAAAGCACAGAGCACATGCAGTCCATTGCTCAGTCTCAGTGAGGAAGAGCATGCAAACTATTTACAAAAATGTGAGTTCTAACTGCTCAGTTACCTGGGAAAGACAACTATTCGGGAACAACGACAGCAAAACTTTCTACCAATTCTGCAGCTGGTTCTTGATCTTCCTGCTGCTCACAAGTGCTCCCACGAGGCCCATAAACCCAGCACATAATTGGTGGTCTATATTTAGTGTTGATTTAGCCACGCAATGCAAGATTCCACCATAATGTCTGAGAGTTTTAGACATGCATTACTGAAACTTCTGCTTTAAAACAACAAACCACCAAGCCTTGATTCAGTTGGTAACTAATGAGGTTCTTATGAAATTGAAGTCAGAAGTCCTTACTCGGTGGAAGTGGCTGGGCTAGGTCAGCTGACAGCACATTCCCAGCACTTCTGCTATGGTATACTCCTGTGTCTAAGTACACTGCCAGAGGCAGGCGCTACCACGGTGACAGCTGGTGTGCAGGGACTCCAGACCAACCACAGGGCTGTAGTAAACAGGAAGAATAGCTGTGATAACACAACTGCACGATGGCCGGTGTGTTAGCTTTCCATTCCTGTTGTCAAAGTATCCCAAATGAGTCCGCTGCTATAAAGAGTGAAGTTTTATACCAGTCCACTAAGTCCGGCCCAGGCTTGCAGCAAGAGAAAACATGGTAGTGGGTACAGCAGAAACAAGTGGCTTTGTCCGATGGCAGCCAAGAGGCAAAGGAGAGGAAGGGACCAGGTCCTGCTATGCCCTTCAAGAGCGTGACCCCAACGATCTGCCTCCCACCGAGCCCCATGCCTAAAGGTCCACTATATCCCAGTGTGCCACAGGTCGGTGACTAAGCAAGCCCACATCACTTTCCTTTAGGGAGACTTTTAAAGATCTCAAGCAGCGGGTCCAGGGACTCCTGGGCCTCCAATTTGCTACAGAAAGTGTGAGTGCAAAGATCACACATTTCATCATTCCTTCCAAGATGATTTCTTCTAAGCTTAGGTACATATCTGCTTCTTGGGAAAACCAGCCATTTCCCTTCCCTTCCATCCACATCAAGCAGCTCTGCCCTCTGGTGTACACAAAAGGCTGTAAGAGAGGAGACCACCGCCCGCAAGCTGCAGGAGCCAGGTCTCAGGCTGGTCGGTTAGGCTGGAAACAGACTTGCAGTCGTTTGTGATCTGCCTTCCCTTGCCACAAGCGCCTGCTCATTACTCAGCTTCAAAACCATTGGAAGTATGTGCTCCAGTTTCCTTACACTGTTTTCTTTAGGGACATCATTAAACTTCTGGGGAACAGGAATTCTCATTTTGAGAACTAAGAAGACTACATAATTGATAATTTTTACCAGAAGTGTCATACATTTTAAACCAAGCTCAAAAAAGATGAAGATGTCCTCATCAGCTTGCCTTGATGAGACAAAACCTTCCTAATTATCCAATTGGTCCCAAATGCCCTATCGCATGCATAAGCCCTGTTTCATTTCTTGATCACTGTTTTCCCCCTCTTCTCTAATCCTCAAGCATTAATCTTCCAGAAATGGAAATACAGAGCCTAGGAACAAGTGGCATCCCATCACACCTGTCTGAAGGTGACTGGTTGTAGTTAGAATCCTAGAAAATGACTTGACCAGAACATGACAGCTTCTTGAATATCTGAAACGCTGCTTAAGAATTTTAAATCAGAAGAAAATATGGTCATATAAATGATCTATCTGGAGACATTTTCAAGGACTCCTTGCTATTTCTTTCAGATTCAATTCCCAGGAAATCCAGTAAATGCCACCAGAGTCGTCACCCATTGCTGACTGTTTTAAAATCAATTCTTGAGCCACAGCACTTCATTGCTTTCAACTCATTTTTCACATCAGGTTCCCAGATATCTTTATCAGCAGAAATTTCTCAATGACTTCTGGAAGTTTCCATCTTTGTAAACTCAAGTGTGGGTTAAGTATTCTTATTTCTTATTCTCCAAACCCTAGTTTAAAAAAAAAAAAAAAGGCAGCATAGGAATAAAAGTCACAAGATGAAAACAGGGAAAAACACTAGAGTTCAATCAACGAGAACACAGTGGGAGGAGACTGAGGTGCCTGGGTTTGCCTAGTGGAGTCTTACAAACCTACCATCGCTGAAGATTAGGACAGGCTCAGAGCTGGAATGGAAGAGGAGAGCATGGACTAAATCGAGGTGAATCAATTAATGTGAGCCACAGACAAGATGGAGTAAGTGTTAAGGAAATGTCTCCAAAGGAAGAAACTAGAAAACTAAGGCCCACAGCCATTTCAGTAGCTCCAACAAAATGAAAAACTTACTTCCAGATTGCCCAGCCCTCTAACCATGATCTACTATGTAACAGATTTTTAAGTGCAAAAGACAAAAAACTCATTTCAAAGCTCAGCATTTCATGCATCAGAACAGAGCAAACCTTTCAAAATTGAGCTGTCCAAAGTCTAATTCTGAACTTGATTTTCTACACAGAAATTGACAAGTCAAACTAGCTTTCAGATGAGACCTTAAAATAACTGACCACTTTTGTATTCATCCCTAAGAAACTACAGAAGGTACACCAATCCAAGAATGCCATCAGGGAAGACAGGAGGTCACTGTAGACTCTGACTTGGAAACAAATCCAAATAATCTCAATGTTTCAAAAACAGCTGTACACTTGGGTAAGAGATATGGAGGCCTACAGTGGATTCCTAGTGAGATCTGAGCATGCTTTACCCAGCAGAGTTGCATTAAAGGATTGCTTGACCACATGCATGGTTACCAGGGGTTTGAAAGGGTCTATGCTTGGCTGTGCTGGGGGAGGTCTTTTGTTCCACCCCTTGGCATTCCTTTAAAAAGCCCTTTAGAAGAGACAGAAAGGGCTGGTGGATAAGGATCCAGGCCCTCCCAAGCTATCCTGTGTTTCTGTGCCTCTACCCTCTATATTTCTATCTAAATATTTCTCACTTCTCCCTTCTCAAGAGTACCCTTGTGTCAAGAGGGAGAGGGACTCCCACAGATGGCACCTAAACAGGGACTAGGGACTTGGTGAAAGGGGGGTAGAGGGCCCTGTAGGAAGCAGTTGGACATGTCCGGTTTTGTAGTATAATGAAGATGGCAATATTCTGTTTTCACGAGTGAAAGTAAAGTGGCTGAAAGATGCCCAAGTGAAAAATGAAGCTGCAGCAAATATATATCTTTGTCTAGGTTTTTTTTCTTTTTCTCTCTCTTAATTTCTATCTATAAAAATTAGAAAAAAAAATTAGGGTAAGAAAGAAAAAATATAAAGTAGAATATAGGAATATGGTGTAGGAATAAATTTAGAGTAAAAGTAGAATGTAGGAATATAGTTTAAGAAAAAATTAAGATAAGATAAGCAACAAGACAGAGGAACTATGTCCTTAATTTCCAACTATAGGGTTATGAACACAAAATCCTGGGAAGGGTCAGGAAAAAAGATTCTTATGGAAGCTTTTGGCCTGGGGACAGCTTAGAATCAAGCCCTGAGAAGCAGAGGAAAGAATTTCCCCTGAGGTAGATGCGATTGAAATAAAACATTTCACTCCGCTGGTGCTGCCACTGTATGAGAACATTGTACCACCAGAACTAGTCTCCATTTGGCCGTGAAGTCAAAAGTTTAGAGAACACACGTTTGGGGGAAAACTTGATAATCTTTCCCTCAAAAACTGAAAGCTTCCTTGGGAAAAACTTAGCAATATTCCTCTCTAAAAATCTAAAAACTTTTCAGACCTTTTCTTTTTCAGATTTTTTTTTTCTCTTTTGGTAGCGGCAAAAAATTAAATTCACTTGGAAGAAACATCTATCAGAATGGGAGAATCACTCATAACTGCTCTAGTGTAGAAAAAAAAAAAAAACCCTGAAGCATTGCTAATTCTTACTGTTAGCATTGTATCTCCGCTTCTAACCAGCAGTCAGGAAGCAATTAGCAAGGGTCCAGGGAGCAAGCACCTCCGAGTTTCAGTGCGTTCCTGGGATACTAGGTTCCTGCATTTGTCAACAGCTTCCTCAAGTGTGGAGCTGAGGCAGAGGAGGTGCGGGACCTGGGGAAAACTGCTAGCATAAAAAAGTAGAGTAAATTTGGCTGTACAAAGCAAGCCAGTGGGCACGGCAACAGTTGCCCACTAGACTGCAAGCCCTGAGTCAGTAGGTGGGGCCATGCAGCGTCCAGGGCTGCAAAAAACCACCTCTCTGAAAAAGCTCTTTTCTATCAGGGAAAAGGCCTTTCTGAAAAAAGCTTTTAGTTCAAGTGCCTTCATTTTCTTTCACTGACCTGGTAAGGCAGAGGAGCAAGCCCTGAGGGGTTTTTGCTTCTGGCTAGAGCCTAGCAAGAAAGTGCAAGCAGAAAGCAGAAGCAGGGATAGCTTCCTCCAAGATGGAGCTGCAACAGAGGCAGTGTGAGAACAGGGGAGGGGCTGCTGGCGTGGAGGAAACAGTAGAGGCTTTGAAATCTTCCCTACAATGAGGGAGGCAGGGCTGAAGTTCCCAAAAATCTCTCTGAAAAGACTTCTAAGTACTTTCATTTTCTTTCACTGACCCAGAAAGGCAGGGGACCAAGCCCCAAGGGGTTTTTGCTTCTGGCACCAAAACGCCTGTCCAAATGCACGTGGGCCAATGGGCATGGTCCACTCCAGGAAAAGTGTCAGGTGAAGGAAATACACCTATCAATGCCAGCTCAGGGAGAACAAAAATCTCCTATGGTAAAAGAGTAAAATCTTGACTCAAAAACCTCTCGTGGTAAAAGCAAGAGCATGAATACAGACCACGTTAACATAAGTTTTCTCCCAGACCTGAAAGGCAGTCTGGGAAATGTAGTATATAACATTACAGCAGTATGGGAAATGTAGTTTTTCAGTTCAAAATAGTGATACTGCCCCAAAACTTTTTTTTTCAGCTCTAAATGCTTTTCCAATGTTAGCTTAGGCTTACCGCCTGAGTACTAAGCACAGGTGAACAGCTTGCCTCTAAGGAGATAATTAAAATGCTAATACCATTTGCCAACAAGCTACTTTGAAATCTTTTAGAAAACAAGGGAATATAGTTCTTACACTGGGAAATTGCTTCTGGTGTGAAAAAAACTTATGGGATTGAGTTGTGCTTAAGATAGAAGGAAACATTGGCATCACTAAAAGAACTCGTGGTAATCTTAAAAAGCAGCTTTAAAAAATTAAGAAGAGAGCATTTTACTCTCAGTCAAGCTTAGATGAATTAGGCTATGACTTCAAACTCCCAAGAAAAATTGGCATCATTAAAAGAACTCATGGTAATCTTAAAAAGCAGCTTTTCTGTCTTCTAGAAGTTTCCACTCCTGTTTGTTTAGAAATGGGTAGGTCTCCCACAAAGGAATAAGCCTCCCACAACTGAGTTTGTAAAAGTATCTTTATAATTAGCATGGGTTTTGTTTACTTGAGTGGATACTTTGAAATGACTATTTTCTCCCGGGAACCAAAATAGTCTCTTGAAAGTTTTATTGAACATCTGTTAGGAGAGTTTTGATCCAGGTAAAGGGCTTGGTGCAGCTGAAACTGCTGAAATCACCTTAGACCCATTCCAAAAAGGATATTCCATCTTTATTGTCCTCTTACAGGGAAGTATGGCAGCCATGGAGATTGATGTGGATGTTTGTAAGCTCAGTAGGGACCCAGGCCAGAGCTAAGCTCTGTATTCTCCCCACCCCCCGCCACGGGCTGGTAGTCAAAGATGGGCAACTTTCTTCTTGATAGCTTCCAACCTAGGCCAGAGTATGCTTGATGGAAAGTATGTCTCCATGACAGGCAAGGAAGGTCAATCAAGGAGGACTTAAGACAGGTACAGTCTGAGGGGCCTGGGGGCCTTCTGCATCAGGAAGGGAGGCCCTCAAAGGTTTCCTAGTGAGATCTGAGCTTGCTTTACCCAGCAGGGCTGCATAAGGAGATGGACTGACCACAAGTGTGGTTACCAGGTGTTTGGGTCTGCACTTGGCTGTGCTGGCGGGGAGGTCTTTTGCCCCAACCCCTGGCATTTCTTTAAAAAGCCCTTTAGAAGAGACAGAAGGGGCCGGTGGTTAAGGATCCAGGCCCTCCCGAGCTATCCTGTGTTTCTCTCTCCCCTCTCTATTTCTATCTTAAATGTATCTCACTTCTCCCTCCTCAAGAATACCCTGGAGTAGAAGTGAAAACAGAACTCCCACAGAGACAATAACCAATACTGACAAAGAACCAAGCTGGTTAGGAAGAACTGGTGGCAAGCATCTGGTGTGTGTGTAAAACCCAAGACAAGTAAATACCACTTTAAGGCAAAAATAAACTGATTTGAGAATTCTTCACTTATTGTAAGTCAACCAATGTCTAAAGACAATAAACTAAGACTTCGCTACTAATGCATAACCAGAAATGTGAGAAACATGAAACTGAGGTCTTAGGGCAAATACTACTGAAGGTGACATAGCTTCTGAGAAGGGACTGACAGATTACAGGAAGAGAGAAAAGTGGGCTTTATTATAAGCCTTAAAGTAAACTATGTTTTACCGTGATTAAAAACTCATTAAAGCATATGTACAGGACTAGGGGTAAAAAGCTTGTCTGGAAAGCACAAGTCTTGAACCCACATATCAAACTGGCCAGTCTCAGTAGCAGAGAGGTAGAGGCAGAATCCATTTCCAGGAAAAGATAGACGGATCCTGAGGAATAACAATTGTGTATACAAATGTGGAAGGACACATAAAACACACACATCTGACTGAAAATGTAAGTAAAGAAATTCTATTGACAATGTCTCCCATGACTCTAGCCTACTTGGAATGAGAGTGATGATACACAACACCACGCTCTAGACTCCAGTGTGTTCTCCACTATGCTGTATCTGAGTTGAACTGAGAGCGACAAGCCAGAGTATCAGACCTTCCAGTTTGTTGGGGACACAGAAGTTATTTGGGAGAAAAGATCTTAAATGACACATTTCCTAGCTCCACCTTCAGCATCAAGAAAACAAGCCTA